AGCTGGAAAGGTCAGGTCATAGATTGGCTGAAGGACTGGTAGTTACGATGAGTTCCCATAAATTTAATTCATTCATTTAAAACGGTTTCATCTGTCTCTCTGCTTCTGATAACCCCCAATACTCTGATTCTTATAGATCCCTAACTCTCTTTATCTCTAATTCTCTTTATTTGCATGTTATTTCTCAAATTGTTGTCCAATATTTGCTCTAATAATAAACAGGAAATACGGATGAACTATGGAATAATGGATGTAAATGTGAGCTGAATTCAATGTTTACCTTGAAGCGACTTGGCCAATGCTTGTAAGTGTTTATCAAAGTTTTGGGGTCTATTTCTGGGCTGAGGTGTGTCAGACCGTTTTCCGGTTTCCAATTTTCTCTTAGCACTCCAATCTCCAATCTCCGTCAGTTGTCGGGTCTGCAAGTTGTGAGTTCAGTCCCACTTCTTCCCTTATATTCATTTTATTTTTGTAGTCTTTTGAATAGATCGAGTTGGTAGAAAAGTAAGTGCTATAGATGTCATCCTCTTTTCCTCTTTTCCACTCCTATTGATTCGTTAATTTATAAACAAAAAAGTGTACAACAGTTCAATGAATCAGAATTTCCTTCCAGCAGTGTAAGTAAATCTGTGCTAACTTTTCGCACTGCGAAGCTAAATACAACTCTTCCGGAAGGTCTACGCGAATTCTTCGATGATCCGGCTAATTATGGTAAGGATGAACTTGATGAGAAAAACAAGCCTGGTCGTTCGTGGAGCAAGGATGAATTAAGATTGAAATCAAGTTCTGATCTTCATAAATTATGGTAAGGAACTGAGGTTTTCCGTCACAGTATTCAACTGTGATTATTTTTCTGTATTTTTGAGAACCGAGAAGTTTAATCGTAGTTTATGAGAAAATTACTAGATTTCTCGTTGCTTCAGGTACGTGCTGTTGAAGGAACGCAATATGTTGTTGACAATGCAGGAAGCATGCATCCAGAAAGCGCGTCGTATGCCCAACCCAGATCGAATTGAGAAAGTGGCTGAGGTTGTTTCTTGGTTTTGAAAAATTCTTCACCATTTATGTAAATGTCGCAAGCAGTAAAATCAGTGCCCGAAACGTAAGAATTTCCGTCTTAAGCATTCGAAATGATTCAAAATTTTCAAAAATCTTAGAAGATTTGAAAAAGTTGACAACAGCTAACTTTTTCAATTTTCGGTTATGTGTTGGAAGTATACAAATGTTACTTTGCACACTCTGGTCATAGTAGCAGAAGTATAGTCACCTTGATGTTTCAGAGCATGTGTAATCTGGAATCAGTGGTACATGAACGTAACGATGCCTATTTTCGCCTCGAAACAGGAGATGGTGCAGACCCACCGATGCGGACCGTCACGTCTTTTGCAGGCTTTACTTACCGGTTCGTATTGATATTGATATTTTTTTGCTAGACCTTTTTTTTTTGCTTTTTTTGCTTTTTGCTACCTTTGTTTTTCTTTTTTTCAAATCTATTATTAATTTTAATTGCAAAAACTCGAGTATGCAATCCTTTGTAAATCCATCCATTCTTTATTCCAGATAAGTTTATTTTCTCCTTAGGAAACATGCCACTGAACATCTTACTCTCCCGAATGAACACAGTAAAAAAGAATATGAGATACCTTATCTCGACGATGATGCCTATTTAATGCAAAAATTATGGATTGAAAAAGAACATGCGAAGCAACGTGACACTTTAGATGATGAAGTGAGACGAAGGCGACTTACCAAAGATCAAGTGAGAAATTTTTGAGATTTTTCTTTTTTGATTTCAACTTTTTTTTATAAATCAGTATGAAAATGGTATCGACTCAGAATTAATCTCATTTAGGAACTTCATTGCAGGTGAAACATCGACGCTCAGCCCGCTCTTATATCAGTGACATTACTCAGCTTAAAGAAGTGCAGAAACTTATCTCGTAGTATAAGTGTTGTATTCAATATCGCAATAAATTTTGTTCCTTATAGTCTTTGTTTCTCTACACGGTGCTATTAAATTCTGCGGCTGTGGATAATAAAACCTGGACAGAACCTAAATTCGTTATACTGTGTCAGTTTTTCCATTCTTCCTGAGTTTCACCTGTATTCCGACTCCAGTGCGCAAAGCGATTTACGACTTCCTTAAGATGAGTGTTCACTTTAGACATACACATTCTATTTTGGTATTCTTCGTTTCCAGCGTTTCCAACTTCGTTTCCAATAATCTCTTTAACTGGGATGATCCAAAAAAGTGCTCTGAACTGGCAACTGACTTTTCAGTCCAAATGGGATTTGAACCTGTTCAATATTGGTCTTGATAAGGTAGTATTTCTGCATCACGTTCGATATTCTGGTCCTTTCAAATAACAAAAATGTGACATGGTTGCTGAAGGAGTGTCCAGATCGCCCTGGCAACCATTATTTGTCTCAATCAACTTACTGCTATCGTTAGTTTTGATATTATTGAGCATATTTTCGTTCTGTGCTCGTCTGGTGAGATAGGTTTGCTGCGGAAATAATGGTAAGTTTTTCTCGAATGCCAAGTTTTAAAAATACAGTTACTCCTAACTGCCCAAAAAATCCGTTTGAGGACTGATCATGACGTTTCAAAATGTCATTGTCTTGGGAATGATATGGTTAATTGATAGTTTCAAGTTATTCTTTTAATACGTTACTCAGTTCCCAGAAAGTTTTAGTCAGTTTATAAAAATATTCGAATGAAATTCATACCAAGTTGATCAGCGATTGCAGTTGTTATCCAGACTTCGACCAACTTGGAAGAAATCAGAACAGAAATTAATGGATGGGAAAATCCCAGAATTGGATGAATTTCTGTTGAAACGCGATTATACCGGTGCTATGTCATTATTACAGGCTTGCGAAGTTTTTTTTTTCGTTTTTTGATGGCGAATTAAACAGGTTTATCATCCAATCATCCAAACATTTCCAGAAAGGAATGGTAGTTATTTTACAACTGGTCTGAAATGGTGTTCAGTATGTGCCATCGAAAAGTGTTTAGCATTAATGGCATTAATGATTAAATAAAAGAAAAATCAAAGTTTAAAAAAATTGCAGTTCCAATCAAAAAATGAAAATGTTGATAAGTTGACAGAGCTTTGGCTTGGACACTGTGCTTTCCATGCTGGCGAATATCGAAAAGCAATAATGGTCAGCTGAAATGATGAAAAAAGAAACTACAAAAGCATTATCAATGGGCAATTTTAATGCAGTAATAAGCGTAGAAAATGTGACAGTTATTTAAGAGAGATTTACTCTGAAGTGACGAAGAAAGTGGAAATTGAGAGGAAGAGACTGATTTCTGCATAAGTCGGTGATCACTGATTAATTTTTCTCCGTCATCGCAGTATTCGAAATATGTATATTATTTGAATCAAAAATTTATTCTTCGATTCAAACAAGTTCATCCCTGTGCTTTTTTTTTTCTTTCTTTTTTTTTGTTTTGAAGAATTTAGTTGTTGAAAAAAGATTTTTTATGCTTTAGGTATATGAGAGAATGCTGGTTAGAGAGAACTGTCCAGCGGAAGTGAATGTTTATATCGCTTGTTGCTTCTTTTTCCTTGGCTTATGTGCAGAAGCCAAAGAATATGCCGAAAAAGGTAATTAGAGTTGGACAGATCAAATAATATTTAAATACGAAAATTCTTAAAATTAATTAGCAAATAAGCGACTCTTGTTGTTGCAAATGTCGTGTTAAATTAAAATGAAGGATGTGAAGTGATCTGGTTCTGTCGTGACTTATTGAAAGACATTCATATATAACTAATCATTAAAAGATGGGCTGAAAATGAGAGAAAGAAGTTTTAGCAAGTTGAAGAGATTTAATCATTTGTCATTGCTTGAAGAATATCTTCTGTCTCCCACTGATCTCCGAAAGAGAATGACAAGATCATACCTACACTACTTTAATCATTTTTATTTTAGGTCCGAAGAGTGCACTCCAGAATCGTTTATTATTCCACCTAGCACACCGGCTGAAGGACGAAAAGGAACTGTTAATGAACCGCAGTAATCTGCAAGATACTACTAAGGATCAGTTATCACTTGCCGCGATGCACTACCTACGTTTACATTATCAAGAGGCAATTGATATCTACAAAAAGATTCTAGCCAGTAAAAAGTAATTTGTTTTAGCAATTCGAAACTTTGATTACTCATAAGTTTACTGCTATCAAAATACCTAACCTTGAAATTTCCAGCTGTTTATGCACCAACTGTACTAAAGTAATAAACAAGTATTGCCATTACCTTACTGATTCTAACTTTATTTCCAGGAATTTCATTGCATTGAATGTCTATCTTGCTTTATGCTATTATAAGCTTGATTACTATGATATTGCACTCGTAAGTATCCAACAATAGACTATTTACTGAAAGCACAGCAAGTGCTTACTATCGCATTTCAAAATACTGCTAAAACCGATTGATTAGTTTTTTTTCTTTTTTTAAATTTCAAATGTCACTCATTTCTCCTGTGATATTTCCCATAGAAGTATTTTGCAGTGTGGTTTTTTAAATCAATACTGACTATTCTATAGTTTTTTTGTCTTATTTATCTAAAATATTTTGTAAATAAAACTGAATGTGTAAAATTACCAGACCGAATTTGTTTATGTTTTTTATAACTTGTCAAAAATTTATATCGTTTAAATGTAGGAAGTGTTGCAACTTTATTTAAATGAGAATCCAGACAGTGCCATTGCTATAAATCTGCAAGCCTGCAATCACTACAAATTATACAACGGCAAAACTGCAATGAAAGAACTTCGAAGGTTACAAAATGGGAAAGCTTCAAGTTTTATGTTTGTGAAGGACCTCATCTCCCACAATACAGTTTGTTTTTTGCTTGCATAAAAATTTCTTTCAATTTTCACCTTCTTGACCTTTCTTAAATGTCCACTTGCTCAGGTCGTCTTTCGTAACGGAAATGCCGCACTCCAAGTCCTCCCACCGTTAATGAACACTCTGCCTGAAGCACGACTCAATTTGATAATTTTCTACTTGAAAAGAGGTACATTTTATTTGATTGTAAATTTGATGCAAATCATTTAATAGGATCTTAATTATTTCTCATTTCAATCTCCTTAATAATGCATTTGTTCCAATAAATGTCTCAATCAGTTCGTCATGCTGAATATTCTAAATCAAATTATCGATTAATATGATTCTTAAAATGCAGTTTTTTCCTTCATGCACTAGATATTTCGGACGGTACTTTAGTAATTTCTTTTTTGGATCCTTATTCAGAATCTGAGAAGTGATGAAGACGTTAATGACCAAAATTAAAACAAAAACAGAGGAAGATAGGAAAAGTAAAAGACAAAGTAGAACAAAACCATCAATAAAAAATACTTTTTGCAAATTTCATGATATGGTCTGAACTAAAGTTTTATATTCTTATTGATTAAATGTTGAGCTTGAACTTAGACTGGAACTCGATGATTTTCCTTCACTTTTAAATCAAGTCATATAACATCTTGATAGAATTGAATCGACGAATGAGTGGAAAATATAAGACTTATGAAATATAAAAATATTAATAGGAAGAAATCCATGAGAAGAGGTGGCATTAATTTTATTCACAGTTATTTCAAAATGTCTTCCTTTTGGAAACCAAATTTAAGATGTTTTTCCTTTGAAACTTAATAATTAAGTGCTTTTCAGATGAAGTGGAAGCAGCACTTAATCTGGTAAGCGATATTGATTTGCAACATTCAACTGAGCATCTCCTGAAGGCAATCACTTATTGCATCATTGGTTATCAAAAGAAATCTGTGAGTTGAACTATCTTGTTTGAACTTTTGGATTTTGACCACCTACTTGTACTTCATTTTTCATCTCAGAGAATTATTTGTTTAGAATTTTATTCCAAACCCAAACTCTATTTGAGAAATTATTTTCTACTTTTTTTATCATGTTTAATTTTATTACGGAAGAAGCATCTGGAAGTGGCGCAAGAACACTTCAAAGTAGTCGGTGAATCGGCTACTGAATGCGGTATGTGCGTTTTGTTTTCACATGCTTTATAATTCTATCATAAACTTTGCTTCAAAGATTTTGAGCTTTTTCATTTTTAAGTGTGATTAATTGTTTGGTTCTTATACCTAATTTGATAATTTTTTTTTTACAGATACGATTATCGGCCGACAAGCCATGGCGTCTTCTTACTTTTTAAGCAATCGTTTTGACGAAGTGCTCGTTTATTTGAATTCAATCAAAGTAAACTTTATAAAAGAGTTCGTGATATATTTTGTGAGAGATTAAAGAGTCATTCATTTTCGTCTATTTTAGATTTATTTTCATAATGACGACACATTCAATTTCAACATTGGCCAAGCTTTGTTAGCCTGTGGTAAAAGCGCAGAAGCTGAGGCTAACCTATTGCTGGTTGTGGACGAAGAATTGAGGCAAAAGCCAGCGTATTTTCTTAGCCTTGCTCGGGCCTGTTTGTTTTTTTAATTTTTTTTCTTTTTCCGCTTTTATATAAACATTTTAAACTAATTTTGTCTTTTTAATTTTCTTATCTTTGTTGTTGCCATTTCTTTCCGAATGTTTTATCTTTTGGTTAAGAAATTATTCGATTAAGAAAAAAAATTATTGTTGCTGGAAGTGAATAATTGAAAACGTGCTCCTTTTAGGAGCTCTTCGATCGCTTGGTGATCAGCCTGTTGTTTGAAGAATGTCAGGGAAAATTATAGTATTCACTTCAAGATCTGAAATCATTTTTCAGATATCCAGAACGGTAACAGTAACTTGGCCTGGGAAATGTATGAAAGGATGAAGGACTGTGATGATATCTTCAAATTGCTATCCGTAATTGCGAATGACTGTTATGTGGCATGTCTCCTTGATGTTTTTTAAATCAAGAAAACAATAAACAAAATAAGGGATAGATATAAGGGATCATTGAAATTAAAAAAAATTTTTTAAAAAAATTTTTTTAATTAAAAACTTTTTTAATTAGTTAAAAATTTTTTAATTAAAAAAATTAAAAAAAATTTTTTTCTTGAGATTAGACATTATGTCAATCACAATTGGTAATAATTAATCGAATTTTGCCACAGGCTTCTCCAGTTATAAGCTATAATAGTTGTTAAGGTTGGTGATTACTTGTATTCGGCAAAATCTTTTGATGCCATGGAAAAAATTGAACCGAATCCCGAATATTGGGAAGGTAAACGCGGAGCTGTTATTGGTGTGTTCAAACTGGTCATGGAACAGAGAGCGCCATCGTTAGTATTTTTTGGTGTTTTAATGCCACTTTGAATGTGACTTTTTGGTAACCTAGACTAAATCTGAGCTCAGCTTGCAAATTCCTATAAGGAGGATGAGAAATGGACTTCTTTTAATTTGTCTCATTTTCAATATTTCCAAACAGGCAATATAATATTCCTTTTGGAGTGATGGTAACTATAGTAACCTTGTGTTATGCGTTCTTGACTTTGGCTTGTATTAAAATGCTACCTAAATTCAACTGTAGATCCCAGATCATCTTAAATCTTTTGTTCTAGAAATGTCCATTTGTTTCTACGTTATCACCTGATATTACGGAAAGTTTTTATAGCCCATATTGTTGCTGAATGGAATCAGATTTCAGTAGAAATTAGATTTCAGTGATCATTTTCGCGAAGCGATGATTTTGTTGGAAAAGAGTAGTCATCCGCAAGTTGAATACATCAGTAATGTTATCCGACGATATATTCGAGAAAATAATTTGAATCCATAATTTTCAGCGTAATATGTTGAGACATGCTCGAAATCATGTTTGGGTGATTGGAATTAAAAATAATTTTGTATATTCCAAAAAAGAAAAAAAATATGTAGACGATTATGCAAAATATGTAGACAGTTGTGAATATGTAGGCGATTATGCAAAATATGTAGACGTGTTGATTCTTATTCGAAGGTATTCCAACGTATATCGTAATTAACAAATTGCTTCATAATAAATGTGGAAGGTAATGAAATAATTCAATATCGATGAGTTATTCCTAATTTGTCGCCTTGGATACTAAACGTTCCGTGTAAATATAATATTCAGATTTTTAGCTTATTCATATAAGAAAACATTTTCGCTAATGAATTCATTTCTAGCTTTTAGGAGATTTTTCAGTTCGGTCTCGCTTTGATTGATGCAATTTTTTCCGGCTGCATTACTTTTTTAAAAAAACTTTGATACGGATACTTTAAAAAAAGTGGCTAAAGAAAATAAACGTCTATTGGAACAGTCCACTCCCAGACTTTTACTATTTTAGAATCTATTTTCTGCTACGTTCTAAATCGGTTCATAAGCAGAAGATGATAAGATAAGCGGCTTGAAAACAGGCAGATGGATGAAATGGAGTTATAACAGTCGAATATTTTGAAGAGACAACTCTCAATTTTTGAAAATTCTTCCATGTTTACTAAAATTTGAAGCCATATTCTGTTGTTCAAAACTTCTAGACATCCTCAATGATGACTTTTGTCTGAATTGAACTACTTGATGAAATCTAAGTTGAAAGATACTCAAAAGATTTTCAGAGTCCGCTATCTCAAAAAACTTTAAATGCAGAAAGCTGGGAAAGTGGAGAATACTAAAAGCCCTACAAAAAACAAAACAAGTAATGTACAAAGTTCTGCCAAGAACGCCAAAATGGGGAAGGATTGGAAGGCTTCTGAGAATGATCCGTGCAAACAGTAATGCATTTCAGTTGCTAAATCTGCAGTATTATTACTATTGGCTAGGGATAGGTAAATGACAATGAAACGGCAATGAAAAAAGGAATTCTTGATGATCTAAATAACTTTGAACTCAAAGTTTCTAAATATGAAGAGTTGAAAGAAATAACTTGGATAATTAGCGAACCAATTAGTAATCTTTTTTATTATGGAAGCCCTCACTTCGATATACCTTATCTGCTAGACTAAAATTGCAAAAATTTGGAATGCTACCTAGATTACGAAGGTGAAAAAGTAATGGAGGTAAAAGGAATGTATTCAGCTTTGAACATGATACTTTGCGATAGGATTTTTTCGCGTATCAAATGTGGAAATATTTCATCCGGCAGCATTACATCTGATCTATCCACAATTCTATTTCCTATTTTAGAGTTTTTGCTAATCGATCTGTATATCTTCAAAAAATTCGATATTACGGGTTTGACATGGACTTCACGTTAGCAAGTAAGTTAATGAGCAACTGAAAATTAAATATGGGAATTTTTAACGAAATCATTAGATCAATTTTCTGCATGATTGGAATAGTATGAAAGAAGTCGAAAATTTCATCGAGCTCAATCTATCCACACGATTACGCTTGAAACGGATTGATCTCCAGTGTAGAAACACTTGATTTCAGGCGCTTCTTATTCATCGAATCACTCAATAATTTTCGATTTCTATGCCTTATTAACAAGACCGTTTCAGCGGAATGTAAATTCAATTTCATACTTGATTTTACAACATGAAAATGTTTTAGTTTACAAATCACCAGAATATGATGTTTTGCTGTACAGCAACATTATAAATCGACTGATACTACTCGGTTATCCCGAACAATTACGATGCTTCCCTTATGAACAGGATTTTGTTATTCGCGGTGATCTCCTAAACGAACCTTTGATAACTACCAGAAATGACCTTATTTGCAAAACAGTTCTTTGAAGTTTATTGCTTTTGCTAATGAGTCAACTGACCTCCAATAGAAATTTTTTTGAAAACTGCACCTTTTTGTTGAGAGACACAAAGACTAAGATATCACAGGAAATTTGAAGGACTACTGAATCCGTAATTCTCCGATGGATCTCTTACAATAAGTTAGCTCTTTGACAGGTTTATGGTTCGATCGAACTTTTGGTAATTTGCTAAAAGTTGATGGATTTGGAAACATTCTTGTTGGTGTACACGGCTATAATTATCTTCGCCGGTAAATTCTTTATTTTTGTCGTTTTGTTAACCAATATTTCCACAAGTTTTCTCCTTTTCCTCTTTTTTTTAACTAATAGAGCGTACTACGGTAAGTGAGAAATCAATCAAAAAATTTAACAATTATAGGTCAGATATCAAGAAGCATTATCCGAACAAGTTCATCTCATTGCGACATTTGGAAAATGTCCTGGTGATGAATTCATTATTTGATATAGCCCATACATATGTGCTCACCACACTTATTCATTATTTCGACAACCATAAGGAATATGAAAGGTAAAACGAAAACACTAACACTTTAAAAAAAGAAGAACTTCAAATATTGAATTCCTTTTTCCGGTAAATTTGATAAAAACAGTTACCAATTTGCATAGAAAATATGAATTTCCTGCTTTGGAAATTTAGCGCATTTAGCTCACTTTTTATTAACTCCTAACTTTTTTTTTCTTCATTTCAATTACATGTAGTAGTCAACACTTCACGATATAGGCAGTAATAAATTTTAAAATGGGAAAAAAATAGCAAATTTGAATTTGAATATAGTGATATGAATGCTGAATGTAGAAAAATAAGAAGTTGGAAATTGAAAAAAGAAAGACAATTTTTTTTTCTGATTTTTTGATCTCCTATCATTGCTTGTCATTTGTGATACAATTTTACTGAGGATATTTCAAAAAATAATTTCCAAAGACCTTTGCAACGACATTCGACCAGAGAAATTTTTCGGCCTTTAATTTCCTCTATTATTCTTGTTTTTGAATATGAACTTCTTTAAAAAAATAGAAATCTAAGATATCGGAGATGGGAGAATTCATCAATAGGATGACTGAGAAATGACACAGTGTTATATTTGTTTAAAAAAGTTAACTATACCACCCAGTTTGCGTACTAGAGTGTATTTTCACTTTGCGTTCAGGCGACATTAGCATCCTTATTCAGATTACCTGAGACTCTAAGAACTTTTACATTTTAATAATTTAATTTCCGACACCTAAATTAGTTTCCAACTTGTAAACTCTTTGGAAAACCTCAAATTGTTCATACAGTACATGTTCAACGGAAATTCTTCATAAGTTCCATTAAAAACATGAAGGTGACACGAATTGGATGTTTTACAAAATATTTGATAGATGTTTCGATTTCTCTTCTTCTGAGTTGATAAGAGCAATTGGAGTGGTAATGATGTTTTGCTTTGGCTTCCAAGAAGACATAATTTCGGAAGACGATTAATATTAACAATTAACAATTTGCTATTCAAAAAATGTTAGGAATTCGTTCAAAATTAAAGACCCAAAAAGTGACTTTACTTTCCTATTAATTTTATTTTTAACTTCATTAAAAGTACTGCTTGAGAGTGTGAGGCAGTACTTGGATCACATCTGTTTTCAGGACCAGCGATGGTACAGGCGTTCGAAACGGAGATACTATAATATCTTATAATTCGCTTGCTGAAGATGTTTTAAGCGCTGTCAATTATGTTCATAATGATGTATGAACTAATTTCATTAAGCATGAACATTTGAATCGTTTTGTCTTTCCTTCAATTTCTTTTTGTAACGGAAAATAATTTTTAACCGTTCATTTTATTGAGACAGCTGTTTGTTCAGAATATCAATGATTTGCAAGCCATACTTTTCAGTCAATGTTTTAACTTCAAATATGGTCCAAGTTTGCATTCAATGTGAATCAGCAGTTGTTGGTACATCTATAGTATGCTAAATTTCCGTTTCAGTTTTAAATTTCAATCCATCTTGGCTTGTATTTGCTTTCACGTTTTAAGAGCTCGCTAAAAGCCGATGTTCTGCAAAATTTGGACAAATATATCATCAAAGATAATCGAATCAAACCACTCCTCCAACTGATTAATGCTCACGGAGGACGAACATTTCTCCTGACCAACAGCAACTATAGTTATACTAATGTTTGTATTATATTTGCTTCTGATAATGGTAAGTGGTAGGCATTGCAAATCGTAATGGGATTTAGCGCTTATCCATTCTCTTCTATTCCTATGAATGGTTGATTGAGCTTTACGAATTTTATTTGTTCAATAATGCCCAGGGAGTACTAAGTTATTTGATTGGACCAGATTGGACATCATATTTTGATGTTTCAATTGTTGACGCGAAAAAGCCATTGTGGTTTGCGAAAGGTACTGTTTTTCGACAAATCGATACCGCTACAGGAACACCTAAAATTGGGGTGCATCAAGGGTTACTTAAGAAGGGCGATGTTTATGCTGGTGGTATGTTCCTTAAATAAAATTACTTGTTCATTTAAAAAAAATAAATTCCCTACTTTTTTCGGAAATTATTTTCATGGTACGAGCACAACTTCATGCTCGAAACAATCCTATATCTATATTATGAATCTTTTGAAAATGACCCTAATATATGCCAGTAAAGCCTCAATTTAATCTATATTCTGGTTTGGCTAACAGTAATTAGCTTACTTGGCTTCGGCCTGTCAAAATGTAGTTCTTTCTGATTCATTTAGCTTCACACACCTGCTCATTTTCCGACTGTTATCAGTTCTTGAAAACGGGTTGTAATACAAAATTTTTCAGAAGCTCTTTAACCTCAACTGAAAATTGTGACTACTCATTTTTTTAGGTAATTCAGATGATTTTCGTCGGTTATTTAATGCTCGCGACAGAGAAGTATTATATATTGGTGATCACATCTTTGGTGATGTACTTAAATCAAAAAAGACAAAAGGTTTGCTTTCTTCTGTATAGGATGAAACTTTGGTGAAACTAGAATTTCACCAATCTAATTTAATAGCACATGGCCTAAACATATTTATTTTTCATAGTTCATTTGTTAAACAATTTAATGTATTGTGTTAATTTATTCAGTTTCACTTTTTATATTACTTCTACTTCCTGCTTTAGACTCTTTATTTAGTAAATAGAATTAAATGGACAAGTTAAATTACCATTCAATTAAATCATCACCACTACTCAATTAAAACTGAAATCAATTCTATTAGATATTGAAACTTAAATTAACTGACTACGTTTTTGCTTAAAAGGATGGCGTACATTCCTTGTAATACCTGAACTAGTAAAAGAAATATCCATTTGGTCACAACGGCATGATTTATTCGAAAAAGTGGTGGAACTGACCAAACAAGTTGAAGCGATGTATAATCAGATAAATGTTATGTCTGCTCAATCAATTATTCAAGAAGGTAACACGCAAATTCGGGTAAGACAAGTATTAGTTTATCAATTTATCCTGAATACCTTCCCATTTACCTTTTCTTAACTTTCAAGACATAAAAAACAAAGCACATCAAACCCACTGTTTGTTTTACAGGAAAGAACTCAAGAAATGGATAATTATTATAGCAAGATGGGTTCGCTGTTTCGAAGTGGATCACGCACCACATTTTTCGCATCACAGGTAGGGCTGGGGAATTGCAATTTCCTGAATTAAATTCTAAATTTCCTGAATTAAATTCTAAATTTTTTTTGAATTTCGAAAAATAACGAGAATTTTGGTCGAAAAAATGTCTTTTTTCAAGCGTCTTCATCGAATTTTTCATCGAATTTTCAGGTGGAACGATTCGCGGATCTCTATTCCTCCAGTTGCTATAATTTACTCTATTATCCCCTTTTTTACTTTTTCCGTGCACCAATGAGTTTAATGCCACATGAAGTGAATGCTGACAAATGTATCCGCGAAAAGAAATCATCTTCGGCGTCAAGTGGAGCCAGTGCGTTAATTGAATGTTGCGAAATATTTTTAAGAAAAAAAGGGCATTTTTTATCCTGACTTCAAGTTAACAATTCCAATTCGAAGTTCTTTCCAAAAATAGATTTGAAGGGAGGATATTCCAGTTTTTTTAGTTTAAAATAACTTTGCTCATCACAGTTTATTCAGGATTTTCCTATTAAAAACGAAGCCGTGTTTTGTAATATCTTACAGGTCGAAGGAAGAATTTCCATTCAGGAAAGAGTTTCAAAACAATACCACATGTTCAAGAAGATGCTGCAGCAGCCACTGAGGAGGAGCTTTTAGATGAAGTCAACAACGGTGGACAGTCTTCTTCAGAATCCGAATAACGTGTTGAAAATTTCTACTTTTTATAAAATGATTTTTCTTAAACGCTCAATATTAAAAACCACAAATCAACTGATATAACTCTCCTCAGTTCTAACAACCCATTTCTTAGCTGAAGATAGGGTGAAGAACGAATTTTGATGTGTGGAGAAGTTGCACTCGGGATGTGAACCAATTAAAATATTACGAGTGTCTACCTTCAAATCAGTTATCAGTCATCTCATTACTGATTACTACATATCTTCTGCTTTTCTGCAGTATCGGCTGCATCTGCAATATCGGCGTATTTTCTTCTGGCAAGAAATATAATATTTATTGGGGTAGCAAGTGCAGCTTTTATCCGAACCTTTGCTTTTTATCGTGAAATATAGTGCGTTAACTAAGTGGAAAATTGATATCAAACGCTGATTAGGCCTGCTGTTAACATTGTCACCAAGAAACTATCCAAATCCTTGCAGGAATTTTTTCAATGATGGCAAGGTTTTAATTTCTTCATTTTACCATATCTGCGCCATGCCGCAAATTCCTGAGTAATCTTTTATATATATATATATATATATATATATATATATATATATATATATATATATATATATATATATATATATATATATATATATATATAT